CTTCAAAATTTTGAAAAACATTTGTTGCAAGAATCGATTTTAAAACCACATGAATAGGTTTCTCAAGCCAAGTATCAATACAATAAGTTCATAGCAATGCAAAAACAAGAGTGCAAAGCAAAGACTCAGCAAGAAACCAATTCATCTCTTTTTAAAAAAAAAAAATCGATTTTTTCATGAATTACTTGCAACAATTTTCAAAACTCAAGAACAAGGAATCACCAACAAAGTGCTCTGTTTTCCAAGACTATCTAGCACCCTAGCATTTATAAAAATAATCCCAAGGTCTAAAACAACCTATCAAAATCGATTCCACACTTTGAAGCTCATAAATCACCATTGAAGAACATGGAAAAGGGTGAGTTTTAACAGGATGAAATACCTTGGGATTAAGATGCAACGAGTTCGAAATGCAATCAGGATGATGTTAACAACTCAAAAACGAGCTCAGAGCACTTTGAATCAACAAATTTGGTGGAGAAATGAGAGAGATATGATAAAAACAATGGAGAGAAATGAGAGAAAGAGTTGCAAACTCGGGTTTGTTGTGATGAAGAGAGAGTGTGGGACAGGGTCAAGCCTTTGGACTGGTGGTCAATAGATCTATTTTGACCAGTCAAGGCTTTGACCCGTCCTTTTCTCATTGACCGGCCTCTTTTCTCTCTTTTGTGCATCCGGGAACCGTCGGGATCGATGATGGTGACTTGATGTGGGTGTCGAGGGTTGTCAAGTTTTACCCTAATTGAAATCGATAGCCGCAAGTGCACAGCTGATCAATTGTAGTACTTAGGCATCGAATCCACAGGGAAGGAGGATCTTTTGCTGCAAAAAGCCTTTGAAATAAGTTAAAGTAAGGAAGTCTAGAACAAAAACGGTTTAGTGGGGGTTTGGTGGTGTCTTTAAAATGTAAAAACGAAATATTAAAAGAGAGTACGGAAATTAAATGGCGTAATACCTAAACTTAACAAAAATAACTAAAAATGATAAAAACGGATATTCTAATGCTTAAATGAAAATGAACTAAAAAGGAAAGACAATATTGAACTAAAGCTTAAAGAAAAATCGGTGTAAATCAATGGAGAAAAGGCGTTGGGCTTCATGGAAGTTTTCTCAGGGGTACGAACGATTCAAAACATTGCTAGAGAGGAAATTTTGTAAGATCTTAGCTTAAACTTTTTGAACTGGAGTCACGGACGTATGAGTACGCCACTGTCGTGATCATAGACAACTATCTCTCTCAACCCTGACCAGTAGGTTTCCACTCTGGCCCTGGAAGAGAAGAGATGCATTATGTTTAAGACTCGTCCTAATTCACAAATCGCCCATAGGTAGGTTTCCACTCCTATGTTTTTTTTGCTCTCCCAAACTAGATCTGATACCTGATGAACACTTTCGTGTCACCAAGCATCTGGATCAGATTGTAGTTCATGACGCTACTCTCATGCAGTAAAAACGAATTCAGAAGAAAAAGTTCTAAGATTCAGCTCAATAGCCAATGGAATCCTCATCGAACATATAAATCCCCATCGAAAATCCCTTAATTCCAACAATAAAACTACTCAGACATAATGAACAAATCAAAGACATAGTATTAAGAAGTAGAATAGAAACCGAAATTGAAAAAGAAATAACAAGGGTTCAAGAGAACAAATCTCTCTCTCCCTAAAAGCTAAAGCAAAAACAATAAAAGTATGAAATAAATAATTCGGTTCTCTAAGGTTACACACGATTTCTAGGGCTCCTAAGACATGTATTTATAGTGCTCAAGACCTCTCTGGACGTCACTTAGGGTTTCTCCAAATGTGGGCTTCAGAAATGGGCTTTTTGGGCTTGGAGGTTGAAGGTCGCGGTCGGGAGTGCTCTGACCGCGGGGAATGTGTGGTTTGCCGCGGTCGGGATGCTCCTGACCGCGGGAAAATGCTTGTTGGCCGCGGGTGGAAGTGCTGGCCAGCTGGTTTACGGGACATCTTGCTCTTCGCGTATCTTTTGATTGAACCGTTGGATTGCCAAGCTGTAAAGTGCACTGGAAAGCTGATACTTCCATCTTTAAGGTCTCCAAATTTGAGCTGGATCAGACGGTGAGAAGGCCTTCAATCAGGGGTGAACTTCTGACGGTTTGACTCTGAGCTGAAATCTGGTTTTCTATCCATTTTGTTAAGCTTTTCCCTAAGTTACCTGAAAAGAGTCTTGGAACTACAAATACTAGAAAAACGTGTAAAAGTACTTAAAAGCAAATAAAAAAATATAAAAAGTATTTCAAAACGATCCATAAAAGTGGTCAAAATACGGTGTTATCAATCGAGCCGCATGACCGTCTCGGTACAGAACCAGAAATATTTTTGTGCTACCTGGTCATTCTCTTTCTAACCCGCACGACCAACCTGCAGTAAAGATCCTTCAGCCCGGTTTTATCTTTGCAACCAGCTAGCACGACCAAGTCGGAGTAATTTGCGAATGGATGTGCGGTTTGGTTCCTCTTGTTTCTAGGTAGCACAACCATCCCGCAGCTTTTATGACTTAGACAACTCAGGCCTTTCTTTTCCTGCTGCGACCTTTTCTTCATGTTTTCCAGCTAGCACGACCAAGTCGGAGTAAATTCCAAATGGATGTGTGGGTTGGTCTTCTTTGTTCCTAGGTAGCACAACCATCCCGCAGGTTTTGTGACTTAGGCAGCTTGGGCACTCTTCTTTTGCTGCGGCTTGGACTCATTCTTCCCAGGTAGCACGACCAACTTGGAGTAAATTGAGAGTTGGGCTGCGAGTTAGGTTCCTTTGTTTCCAGGTAGCACGACCTGGCCGCAGGTTTTGGACTTAACAACTTTGGCTGTTCTTCTTTTTGCTGCGGCTTGGACCTCTTTCACCAGGTAGCATGACCAACTTGGAGTAAATTGAGAGTTGGGCTGCGAGTTAGTCTTCTTTGTTCCCAGGTAGCACACCTAAGCCGCAGGGTTTGTTACTTAGACATTCTGGCCTTCCTCTTTTTGCTGCGGCTAGGTCTTCATATTCCCAGCTAGCACGCCTAACTCGGAGTAGATTGCGAGGATAAGTGCGGCTTGGCTTCTTTTTTTTTTTCTAGGCCGCAGCACCAGGTAGCAGAGTTTGGGACTTAGAACTCTTGGCCTGTTCTTCTTCTTTCTGCGGCCTAGTCCTCTTTCACTAGGTAGCACGCCTAGGCCGGAGTAAATTGCGAGTCCTGCTGCGGCCTGGGCTCTTCTTGGTCCAAACCGCACACCTAGGTAGCACTGAGGCGTTCTCCAAGTTTTTCAGTTCTTAAACATTTCCCTCAGCCCTCTCACATGTTCCATTCCTTTCATCACTGAGCTATGTCCTCCAAAAATCACCTAGAACCTGAGACCAACTCACAAAACCCATCAAAATGTTCTAAAACATAAAAGAAAAGAGAAGAAATCAAAAGAACTATGTACAAATATAAGCTTGGGGTGTCTCCCAAGAGCACTTTGTTTAAAGTCTCTAAGTTTGACTTTGGAAACCTGTTTAACAGGCTGGTGGTGGATCAAGAAGGGGAACTGATGTAGCTTCCTCTTTCTTTTGTAAAACCAAATAGTGCTTGATCCTTTGGCCATTTACCACAAACTCTTGACCATTCTTTCCTTCTAACACCACAGCTCCATAGGGCCTCACCTCAAGAACTTTAAAGGGACCAGACCATCTAGACTTAAGCTTTCCTGGAAACAACTTAAGTCTAGAGTTGAACAGCAACACCAAATCACCATTATTGAACTCCCTTTTCAGAATCTTTTGGTCATGCAGAACCTTGGTCTTCTCCTTATAGATCTTTGAGCTTTCAAAAGCCTCAAGCCTAATCTCCTCAAGTTCATGGAGTTGCATGACCCTTTTCTCTTGAGCTGTCTTGATATCAAAGTTCAGCAACTTCACAGCCCACATAGCTTTGTACTCCAACTCAACAGGAAGGTGGCAGCTCTTCCCATATAGCAGACTGAAAGGTGATGTCCCAATTGGAGTTTTAAAAGCAGTCCTATAAGCCCACAATGCATCATCTAGCCTTTTGCTCCAATCTTTTCTGCTTGAGCTAACAGTTCTCTCAAGAATGGCCTTGATCTGTCTATTAGATACCTCAACTTGGCCACTAATTTGAGGATGATATGGAGTAGCTATCTTGTGTTTCACTCCATCCTTTCTCAGCAAACCCTCCAAAGTTTTGTTCACAAAATGAGATCCTCCATCAGAGATGACAACCCTTGGAACTCCAAATCTTGGGAAGATAATGCTCTTGAACAGCTTCACTACAACCTTGGAATCATTGGTAGGGGAAGCAATGGCCTCAACCCATTTGGATACATAGTCCACAGCAACAAGTATATACTGCTTCCCATAGGATGAAATGAAGGGACCCATGAAGTCAATCCCCCAGCAATCAAAGATCTCAACCTCTAGAATGGGGTTTTGAGGCATCTCACTCCTCTTGGATATGTTCCCATGCCTCTGACAGGCATCACATGCTGAAACCACTAACTGAGCATCTTTGAACATTGTGGGCCACCAAAACCCACTCTGAAGAACCTTGGCCACAGTATTGAATGCTCCCATGTGACCCCCAAAAGCTGAACCATGACACTCTTGCAACACAGGTTGCATCTCCTCTTCAGCAAGACACCTTCTATAAAGCTGATCTTTGTTCAGGACATAGAGGTAGGGCTCATCCCAATGGTATCTCTGAACCTCTCTGAAGAACTTCTTCTTCTTGTAAGCATCTAATTCAGGTTGCTCCAGTCCACAAGCAAGATAGTTCACTATGTCAGCAAACCAAGGCATCCTCCTCTCTTGAATACTCTCTACTTCTTCAAACTCCAAGTAGGAATGGAGCACCATCAGAGACTCTTCAGGTAAGCTATCATTGAGAGGCACTTCAGAATCAATCCTCAGCCTAGAAAGATGGTCTGCAGCTCCATTTTCTATCCCCTTTTTGTCCTGTACTTCCATATCAAACTCCTGAAGTAGAAGAACCCATCTTAATAGTCTTGGCTTGGCATCCTTCTTGGTCATCAGATACCTGAGGGCTGCATGATCAGTATATACAATGACTTTTAATCCCACCAGGTAGCTTCTGAATTTATCAAAGGCAAAGACTATTGCCAGCATTTCCTTCTCAGTAGTGGTATACTTCTCTTGTGCAGAGTCAAGTGTTCTACTGGCATAGTAGATGACATGTAGCTTCTTGTCTTTCTTTTGCCCAAGTACTGCTCCAACAGCAAAATCAGATTCATCTGTCATGACCTCAAAAGGAAGGGACCAGTCTGGTGCCTGAACTATTGGTGCACTAACCAATGCCTCGATCAACTTGAAGGCCTCTTCACATTCAGCATCAAAGATGAAATCCACTTCTTTACACAACAGTCTTGTCAAGGGCCTGGCAATTCTTGAGAAGTCCTTTATGAATCTTCTATAAAACCCTGCATGCCCATGGAAACTCCTTATCCCTTTAACTGAAGTGGGAGTTTGCAGATTCACCATCACTTTCACCTTTGCCCTATCAACCTCTATGCCCTTCTCAGATATCTTGTGCCCAAGAACTATTCCTTCCTGCACCATGAAGTGGCACTTCTCCCAGTTCAACACCAAGTTATGCTGCTCACATCTCTCCAAGACCTGTGACAAATTAGAGAGACAATCCGAGAAAGAGCAGCCATAGACACTAAAGTCATCCATGAACACCTCAACTTTCTCTTCAATAATGTCAGAGAAAATGTGCATCATACATCTTTGAAAAGTGGCCGGTGCATTACATAAACCGAAAGGCATTCTCCAATAAGCAAATGTGCCATAAGGGCATGTGAATGTTGTTTTCTCTTGATCCTGGGGATCTATGGGAATTTGGAAGAACCCCAAGTACCCATCGAGAAAACAAAAGAAGGGGTGGTTTGCAAGCCTCTCTAACATCTGATCAATGAAAGGTAAAGGAAAATGATCCTTCCTAGAGATTGCATTGAGCTTTCTATAGTCTATACACATTCTGTGTCCTGTGACAGTTCTAGTAGCTATAAGCTCATCCTTCTCGTTTTTAACCACTGTGATCCCACCCTTCTTGGGCACATCATGAACAGGAGACACCCATCTTGAGTCAGAGATTGGGTAAATTATCCCTGCCTCAAGAAGTTTTAGTATCTCCTTCTTAACCACTTCCTTAAGGTTGGGGTTAAGTCGTCGTTGATGCTCAATAGAGGACATATATTGGTCCTCTAGGTGGATCCTGTGGGTGCAAATGTCAGGAGAGATCCCTCTAATATCAGCCAAAGAATACCCTATGGCTCTCCTGAACTTTTTATCTCACTAAGCAATGCATTTTCTTGATCCTCTAGTAGGCTATCATTGATGATGACATGATATGTGGAGTTTAAGCCCAAGAAAGCATACCTGAGCCCTGTTGGTAGAGGCTTGAGCTCAACAGGGGGTGCATTAGCCTCATTCCAATCCTGGTCCAAGCTTCTTTGGCTGGTGTCTGATCCTTTGATAGCAAAAACTTCAGAGCCACTTGGTTCCAACTCCAAAAACCTTGTCTCAGGACCCAGCTCTCTAGCATTGTCCAAATACAACTTGTACCCTTCACTTGCTTCAGCTAAGAGGATCTTCAGTGTTCAGTTCCTCAAGCAACTCATCAGCCAGCTGATCCATTGTCTCCACATAGAAACATTGACTTTCAATGGTGGGTTTCTTCATCATCTCATTCACATCAAACTTGAGCTTTTCAGACCCAAGTTGAAGCTCTATTATCCCACCTCTCACATCAATAATAACTCCTGCAGTGGCTAAGAATGGCCTGCCCAAGATAAGAGGATCTACTGGTTCCTCATCCATTTCCAGCACAACAAAATCTGTTGGAACCTCAAAACCACCTATCTTGACAGGTAGATCTTCCAGCATACCAACAGGCAATCTAACTGATCTATCTGCAAGGATAAGAGAGATCCTTGCAGGCTTGAACACTCTAAAGCCCAGCTTCTTTGCTATGGAGAATGGCATCAAGCTGACTGATGCTCCTAGATCACAAAGACATCCAGAGAATAGAAGAGGTCCAATGGCACAAGGGAGTGGGAAACTCCCTGGATCAGTTAACTTCCTTGGAATGGCATTCTTCTGAATGATAGCACTGCATTCATGACTTAGTACCACCATGCCATGAAGCTCTTTTGTTTTGTTCAGAATGGCATCCTTCAAGAACTTCCCCATCTTTGGCATCATTAAGAATGCATCAATGAGAGGCATTGTGAGTGGTGTCTCCTTGAGTGCTTTCTCAAATACAGCTCTTTCCTTGTCCACTAGTTGCTTCTTGAATCTCCCTGGAAATGGGAGTTTGGGTTGGTATGGAGGTGGTGGCACATATACTTTCTTTGGTTCAGGTTCCTTTGCTACCTCTTTACCCTTTTCTGTCCTTGGTTTCTCAGCAACTTGATCATCCTTTAAGGCTGCCTCCCCCTCAGTTTGATCATTGTCCTCAATGATCACATTGTTGTTCTCAATACCAGGTAACTCCTTCCCGTTCCTCAATGTAATGGCCTTGGCATATTCCTTGGGGTTGGGTTCTGGTTTTCCAGGTAGGTGACCTTGGTTCCTTGAGCTTGAGGCCTGGTTCTGCTTCAGTTCCTTGATTTCCTGCTGCATGGCTGCATTCTGGCTTGCAAAGATCTGTTGACCCTGAAGTAGTTGTTGCAAAATACCAACCATATCTGAACCCATCTGTGGCTGTTGTTGAACCGGTGGTGGCTGAAACTGTTGTTGAACAGGCGCTTGCTGTTGGAACTGTGGGGGACCAAACCCTGGTGGTGCCTTCTGCTGCTGTGTACTGAAACTAGGACCCTGAAATGGTTGCTGTTGCTGACCAAAACCTTGATTCTGAGCAAACTGATTCTTGGGTTGGAATGACCCTTGAAAGTTGTTCTTGGGAACAAAGTTCTGTGGAGCTTGAGAATTGGGATAGACCTGGTCTTGTGGGTTAGCTACATTGGTGTTCCTGTAAGAAAGGTTTGGATTGACATTACCATACTGATATCTCTGGAACCTCTGATTCCCAATATAGTTAAGCTCCTCTTGGGTGAGACCCTCTTCACTTATGTTCTCAAAGATTTGAGATGGTTCCTCATACTCTCCAACAAAATGCATTGGCTTGTGAGTTACCAACTTCAACTTGTCTAATTCACTTCTCAACTCCTTAACTTCCCTGGTGAGCCTCTGTTCTGAGCTTGAACCTTCAGACCTATTTGATCTGTCATAGTCTTCACCATAAGTATCATTGCTCAATGCTAAGTTCTCCCCTAGCTCTAAAGCAGCATGTATCTCTTTACCCAGAAAGTTCCCATTGGAAGCAGTATCCAGCTGGTTTCTAATCTTGGGAAGAGCTCCTCTATAAAGTGTGCTGAGAAGAGAAGCCTCACTAAACCCATGGTGTGGGCATTGGTTTGTGTAGCTCCTGAATCTCTCATATGCTTTACCAAAACTCTCATTGCTGTGCTGAATGAAGCTAGAGATTTGGTTCCTCAGTTTTGCAGTTGTTGAGGTTGAGAATCTCCCAGGTTTGAATGGAACCTCTTGGAATATTCTTCTCCCATTGATGAGCTTTGTCACCAAGACTGAATGGGAATAGTCTTAGCTTAAAGCTGTCTTCTGAAACTCCATTAATCTTGGTCAGATCACACACCTTATCAAACGGATCCAAGTGTTCCAAGGGATCTTCCATTGCTAACCCATGGAACTTTAAATTCTGGACCATATTCAGCAATGATGCTTTCACTTCAAAGTTGTTGTTTTGCACAGGTGGTGCCTGAATACCAGCTCCATACTGATGAGCATTGGCCCTGTCATTCTCTCCAACATAGACTTGGGGTTGCTCATATCTTCTTTGCTGTTGTTGGAAAGGGTGGGGTTGGTGGTGCACTTGTTGTCTTTGCTGAACATTGGCCTGATGCCTCTGTTGATGAGCTTGAGCTTGTCCCTGGTGGACATAAGCTTGTTGATGGTGCACCTGTTCCTGATGAACATTACCCTGATGAAGCCCTTGACCAACTCCATTACCAGCTCCATTACCCTGAGCCTGTTGCTCCTGAACCGGTTGTTCTATATCTACCATGTGATCTCCTTGTTCTGCCATCTCAGCCTGATCAATCTGTCTACCACGTCTGTCCCTTCTCCTCCTTGGTACCAAAGAGTTGATGTAGTCGTTGAGAGGGAAAGGAGGACCACAGCTTCTTGATCTGGACCTGGTGTTCATACACCTGAAATCACAAACAGAACTTGAAAGGAATCAGTAAAAACAAGAAAGTAAGCACTTGATCTCAAGAACAGATCAGAGCTTAATGCTAATCAAACCACAATTTGGCAACGGCGCCAATTGATAGACAAGACTTTTTAGGGTCTCAGGGCTATCAATCCCCTTGTCAAAGTAGCACAAAGAGGTTTATCAATCCAGATGTGGTGTTAGACACTAAACTATGTGATCAAGTTCTTAATTCAAGCAAACAAGAGTGGTTTTGATTATCTAAAGACAACTACAAACTTAAACAGGATTAAAGACTAATGAAATGATTAAACAAGAACTAAACAATGACAAATGATGTGAATATGATATGATGGAGGCATGAGATTCTAGACATGATAGTTGGTTAGGGTGCTTTGGTGCTAAACTAGAAATGCTAATGACAATGATGAGACATGATTCAAATGATTAAGAACTCTAATCTAGGTTAATCCTCTCATGAAGGTATCAACCCCTATACTAATCCATTTTCAAACCAAATTCCCATTTGTGAAATATGAATCAATATGCATTAATAAACAGCTCTTAATGATCATTCAAGCAATTAAGAATACATCACCATGCAGAAAACGCTTAAACCTCTAATACAGCTCTTCGAGGAATTTCATCAAACACTTTTGGTGCATGAAATTCCCAGAATCTAGATCTCAAGTGATATGCAAGGATCTAGCATAGAGAACAACTGTTTAGAGAGATGAATCAATGAATCTAGCCCTAAGCACTCCAAATCTAACACTTTAGAACCCTAACCTACACATCTAGAACCTCATTAAGGTGACTACTCACTAATCATACTAATCTCTCTTAAACCTTTGCAAGTTGAGAAGATTAGCATGATTAATGATGAGAAATGGAGATGGAGATGATAGATTAAGAAGAAAGCATCTTTTAAAACTCCAAGATCTCTTAAACTCTCTTGATTAAAAGCCCAAAAATCGATATTTCTCTTCTTGGTGGAGTCTTTTTCACAAAAGAGGCAAGAGACAAAGGGAATAAGGCTTAATCCTCTTAAAAAAAAACCTAAAAAGTATTTATACTTCTCTAAAAACGAACCGGGTCACCCCTTGTCAAAGTAGCACAAAGAGGTTTATCAATCCAGATGTTGTTTTAGACACTAAACTATGTGATCAAGTTCTTAATTCAAGCAAACAAGAGTGGTTTTGATTATCTAAAGACAACTACAAACTTAAACAGGATTAAAGACTAATGAAATGATTAAACAAGAACTAAACAATGACAAATGATGTGAATATGATATGATGGAGGCATGAGATTCTAGACATGATAGTTGGTTAGGGTGCTTTGGTGCTAAACTAGAAATGCTAATGACAATGATGAGACATGATTCAAATGATTAAGAACTCTAATCTATGTTAATCATCTCATGAAGGTATCAACCCCTATACTAATCCATTTTCAAACCAAATTCCCATTTGTGAAATATGAATCAATATGCATTAATAAACAGCTCTTAATGATCATTCAAGCAATTAACAATACATCACCATGCAGAAAATGCTTAAACCTCTAATACAGCTCTTTCAGGAATTTCATCAAACACTTTTGGTGCATGAAATTCCCAGAATCTAGAT